CTTCTCCGGCTCCAGCTTAGGCTTACGCACCGACTCCTCCCGGGACTCCAGGCGCGTCATGTCCTGCGGTCTGCCAAAAACCCGGCTTGCGGCGCCAGGGCGGTGAAATGCTTTGGGTCAAACGAGTGCGAAAGTTGGGATAGAATCGCATCAACCATCCCATGGGAATCTTGCTCCCACAAGATCAATCCATTTCAAGTTGGTGTGCTTGAGGAACAGAGCCAGTATGACAAAAATAGGGAAATACACTTTGCAAATGAGCATGGAGCTAAAACAGACGTCCCTTTTTGGGGATGGAACCTCCTGTTTCCTTGCGTTCATTTTAGAACAATCAACCAATCCCAAGACACTCGTCTCACCCCGCACGTTTTGGCTTGGGAGCTTCCTCGTGCCACTTGGCAATGTCCACCAAACTCGGCTCCACTCGCCGGTCGCGCTGATCTTCCGCAGTGCGCTCCTTCGACTCGAAGCGCGAGGCTCGTTGGCGACAGAAGAACTTGTTTGTCCGAAGTCACGCACTCGAATCAGATTTTTTAAGCTGTGGTCTGAAGGGAAACCGGCCCGAGTCCTTTTCCGAGCTCCTGAGCAGTCAAGTTGGGCCGAAAATTCTGCCAGTTCCAAGTTGGGAGAGTTCATCCTGGAACTGCTAAGTGGGGATGTTAGAGACACACAAATCGGGACTAAAGGCTCTCAATGTGACATATCACGATACAAATAACGGGGGGGGTGCGGGGGGTTGGGGTGTTCGATTGCCCCTGGGCCGCTCTCCAACATCCCCAGCGCTAAAAGCGCAACATCCCCACAAAAGGGGAAATTCCAAAGGGGCAATCCCAATGGGCGGATTCCAAAAGGACAAGCCCAATGAGAAATTACAATGAGAGAGAATTCCCAAGGACAAGTCCAAAGTAAAACTAGGGAAAATCAAACGAAAAATGGCACTGAAACTTCCCATGGGATACTTCCGCTGGGAAAACTCGAATGGTAGCATTGCATGTGTAGCCTTTCCACGAATAGGACCCTCGCAGGCATATGCGGAAGAGCAATTGCAAAAAATCCAAAGGCAGAATTGCAATGAAAGAAATCCAAAGGACAATTCCCACCGGGAAACTTCCAAAGGAAGTTATTCCCATGAGACAAAGAGAAAATACAATGAGATACTTCCAAAAGGGAAATGCCAAAAGCGCCCCATACGCGGAGGAGCAATTGGAAAAAAGTCCAGCGGGGGAAGTCGAATGTGAGAATTTCAATAGAAAAATGTCCAATGATAAAACAACAAAGGGAAAAATGTTCGACACATACAAGAGAGCAGGCCTGCAATGTCGGCGGTCTGAGCCGGAGGCGTTAAATGAATATATATATATATATATATACATATATATATATATATATACATATTAGAAAGGGTTTTTGCCCCGTTTGCCCCCGGCGCGGCTCGCTCGTTCGGGAACTTGGAGGCCACCCATTTTTCCGGCTGCGGCGCTGGTTTCTCCTCAAACCCTCCCTCCCTCCGCTCCCAAGGCGGTCTCCTTGGCCACGTAGTTCGTGGCCGTGGCGCCGAAGACCTGGAACCGCGTCAGCGCGCAGAAGGAGTTGTCCTGGATCCATCCCAGGGGCCACGGGCTTGGGGGTCGGTGGGGTGGGGTCGGTGGGGGGTGGTAAGGTGGGGGTGGGGTGGGGTGGGGTGGGGTGGGGTGGGTGGGGGTGGGGTGGGGTTGGTGGGGGCCCTGGGCTTGAGGAATGCAATGGCCCCAGGTAGCTTCGGAAAACAGAGAAAGCTGCGAACGGTCAGCGTGGGATCTCAGCGGAGAGGGATCGAGTCCTCTCACGACGGATTTTCCGGCCGGAACCCCCCCGGCCTCCATGCGGTGGTGGCTCAGCACCCGGATCTTCAGGAACCCCACCCAGCACTCCTCCAGGAGTTCCCACCCCCCCCTCCCAACCCCTAGTCAGGGGCCCGGACACCGCCCAGGAATCCCCAACCAAAGCAGGGGTGTGAACCCCTCCTTCTGGGTTGCTTAAGGCCCTATTGAGCACAAGGCCCCTGGAGACCTTTGGCGGGAATGCAAAAGGCATGTCTTTCCAAAAGGTCTCTCAGCCGCCTTTGGAGTCACACCAAAGCCATGCTTTGAGCCAAGCACCCCACAGACCCCCCAAGAAATCCCAGGTTGGTTCCTTCGTCCTTTCTCAGTTGGCTTGACCGACCCAAAAAACACTGTTTTCTTTCTCCACTAATATTTTATGTCTTCCCAAGAAGTGACGAAAGTCCGGGGTCAAAAATAGGGCAAGCCGCCTTTTTCAGGAATATGGATCAACAATCCATTTCGACCTCTACCCAGACATGAGATCAGAACCTCAGAACGGAACTCCAGAACTTCTCTCCTCCGCTAAGCGTTGGCACCGGCTGCCCACGTCGAAGATCTCGTAGTTGGAGCTGAAGTTACTCTCGATCTCCCCCAGCAGTCGCCAGGTCTCTGTGGGGTACCTCGCCATGCAGAAGACACCGCCGAAATGTGGGGGTGTGGGGGGTGGGGGGGGGTGGGGTGGGGGGGGTGGGGGGTAGGGGAAGTGGGGGGTGACAGAACCTGTCCTCTGTTGCTCCATGGAGGATCCCTAGGTTCAAAAAACCTGGGCTCCTGTTTTGATAGTGTAGGTCCTTTTTAAGTCAGCCCAGTTGGATATCTCACTTTAAGCAGGGGGCCCTTGCCATCATTTGCGTGAGGTGCTTGTCACTTATCACTTTGCTTCCTTCAAAACAAGGAGGCAAGGAGGCCGTATTGTGTTAGATACTATTCGACGCTCACAAATCATGGATTTGAGGTTCTTGGGAGGCCCTTTGGACATCATTTACCATGGACCGATCTTGCAAAACGAGTACTACTTTACGAGGTTCATGTTGGAGGGGCCAGACTAGCTCATCGTTCAGTCCTCAAACTTGGTTGCCTCCAAAACAGTGCAAGCCCCACACATCTTCAAGTCCAGAACCTCAGGGAGTGAGTAAAACCGGCCCTGCATGTTCTCTTTCGCAATCACCCCGAAAGGCAAACTCAAATGGTGACCTTGGACATAAAGAATGGGGGGACATCCATTTTGCCCACATGACGCCTTGAACACCTGGGCGTGCCTTTTTGTTGAGGCTACCCTTTTTTGGGAGTGGTGTTGAACAACCAAAAGCCCACGGAAACCCCATTTCTTGCAGTTTCCCTGACAGACCCTGGCAACAATGCCCTTAACTCCAAAAAAAGAAACGGACGGACACCGTTTGGGGGTCGCCTGTTCAATCCGCCAGAGACGAACCCACCGCATTTTGGTGAGAAAAAAAAACGCCGAGCCGATCCCGAGGCCCAAGGAGCTGGTTGGAGCCCAAGATCTGCAGATGGCGATACCCCGAGGCGAAGAGCTCCAGCGTGATGAGCCCCACCTGCAAACTTCGGACTTCGGGGCCTGGGGGGGGGGCCTGGGGCCCTGGGGGGGGTGTGGGGGGGGTGTGGGGGGAGGGGGGGGGGGTTGGAGCCTGAAGAGCTTTCGGGGGCTTTGGGGAGAAGGGGAGGCAAAGGGGGTGAGGGTGAGGGGGTTTAGAGTCCATGGGGGTCAGAGTCCGTGTGCCCCTTCTGTGAGTCTTTACAAAGCTGGAGGGCTGAGAGGAAAACGGAGAACTTTCCCGAACCCTTGGAAGCCGGAAATTCTGGGGGACGAGGGCTCCACCCCAAAATCCGGCCAAGGAGCTGTCAAACGTCTATGGGAGGTGGGGAAGCCAAATTCCACTTTGACAAGGAAATGCTGACCATTTGTCCAGAATGGGGTCCCCAATACTCTGCATCACCCCACCAAAAAGAACCCCCACTTCAAACTGGCCCAAACGGTGAGGTTAAAACCAAATGGGAAATATAGGAATCGAACCAAGCTTCGAGATCCTCTGAGGGCCCCTTGTCGGTGTGGTTGGTGGATCTTGCAGCGAAGCCCTCCCCTGAAAACAACATGAAAAACAAGTGCCACTGGGAAGTCTGAAGGTAATCACCGTTTGCTGGCAAGAACCGGGTGCCACAACACTTCAAACTAGTTGAACACCAAACATGAAAAGGGTATGTGAAACTCCCTTGTTGGGACTATCGAAAAATGAAAGGAAATGCATCCCGAAAAGACAAACAAAACAGATGTCGCTGGGAAGTAAAACTTTGACAAAAAAGGGAAACCCAAGAAATCGGCAAATCGATGGAACGCTGGTGAGTGACATGCTCCACGAAGATGTCCTCGAGCAGGCTGATTACGAACCTCCGGCTTCGGATGGGCTTCGGTGGGCGCTCTATGTGGGGGCAGTTTATTTAGCGGCAAAAGTCAAGAAGATCAGGGATTGATGGGGGATATTCCGCCATTCCAATGATGAATTGAAGTGCTTAAAGGCTGCCATGGACAAAAGCTGAGCTCCCGCAAAGGGGCTTTGCTAGTCCCGGAATCTTCGGCAAAAACTTCTAAGCCCCAAAGCAGGAAAAAAAGTCTAAACCAGAAACACTGGCCTGAAGTCACTTAAGACAGAAATGGAGCATGAAAATTTGAATTGTCCGCCAAAACCCTCTCCATGCCAACTCCAGCTCTTGCGCAGACCCGTGCCCGTGACCGTGCCACTGACAAGAAAGAAATCTCGTGTACAACAGAACCACTCTTCCACGGGTCGCCCTACTCCAAACACCCTCTTTTCAGGGTCACCTATATTCAAGAGACGACATCAGCCCAAAAGGGAACTCACTTGAAAAGGCCCTGACAAGATGATGCCTAAAACCACCAACAGAGGAAATAGAGGGACCCCTGTTGCTATGGGTGCAATCTGAAAAAAAAACTAGTCTTGACATGATATATACCTCAGAGCGCCATTCTGGGCCGGGGCAGCCTGCAGCCATGGTTCAAACAAAACCAAGTATCAGCATGGATCTGGTGTAAAGAAAATGCGCCTAATCCTGGGGGCGTCCCGTGACAATTGATTGAACCGCCGGTTCGCTTCCCTTTAAAAGGAGGGTCTCAGCGCTGCCCGACCCTACCAATGGCATACCCGGCGGGCCACGTGTTGAGGCTGCGCTTTTCCTGAAACATGACCACAAATGGCGCACGGCCACGCATACAATGTAGGTGGAGGATGAGGACAATCCGAGTTGCTGGTCGCACAAGCCAAATCCAACTACTCGGCTTCATGTTGGTGACATTTGAAACTGAATCTATAGAACGGGTCCCATGGGGAATTTGTTTCTTGGGTGTCTAGAAAGAGGAATCAAGCGGCGGAGATGTTGGCCAAGGGGCCAGGTCCGCGTTTGGCACGGAGACAACCTGAGCAACCAAAGGATCTCGAAACCAAAGGTCAAAATAAAAGAACATCGATACAAAAAACGGAGAAGAAGAAAAAGTAAAAAGGACGCTATCCACAGTCAAAACATCTGAAATCAGGCATGACCGAGGGGTTCCAGAAAAGTTATCTTTGTCTGTGAGGTTGCTCTAAATGCTCCCTGTTCTGGATTCAAACAGAGATGGCCGATGTCCTGCTGCTTTCCTAGTTAAACCAACCAAAGCAGGTCCCGCAATTCCAGGAAGCGCCCTAAGTGTGGGTGTTCCTTCGCATACCAACTCGCGGGTGAGGTCGAACAAATAAGTTGCCGAGCTTGGACGCAAGCAAGAGGAAAATATGACTAGCGGAGAAAAACCACCCTAAAGGAGGTGTAGGTAGCATGGTTGAATTCCACCGAACTGGGGTCTGGATGCAAGACCACCCCAAAAAAATGGTTTTCGAACCACTCGAAACTCAGCAACTTGAAGGGGCCCGGTATGGCCCGGCAGAACTTGCCCAGCTGGGGTCTTTAAACCGCTGCTCATTTTAGCGGGGCTAGCACAAATGCCATGCTCCGACCGACGTAGAAAACAAGTGATGCCTTAATCGGCCGCCCGGCCTCTCAAAATGCACCCACTGTTTCTTGGAAATAGAATCATTTGCCCCTCAAATGGGCTTAGACGTCAACCACTTTATGGACTAGACAGGAGCTGTTCCAAAGCTCTACTACATATGAAAAGGAACCAGCCATTTGAGTCGATGTGGACACATTCCCGCATAATGCGTTCTTCTTCCCCGAGGAACATGTCGTGATACATTCCTTTTAAAACCAACAAGGGAAAAAAAATAAATAGAAAATATATTAATTTCAGCAACTGGAAGATAAGGCAACCAAACACCCACGAGAAATACCCCGAACTGATGGTTCGAGGAACATGTAGAGGGACTTGTCCGGGGACAGCACCGACTTCGCGTGCAGAAGGCCCTTGGCATGGGTCACCAGCCGGGCCCCCGCGTGCATCGAGGCGTAGTCGTAGCGCACCCCGTTCAGGAAGTCGTCGGAGTAGGGCTGGCTCCTGGCGGAGCAAAACACTACCCAAGTCTTGGCAGCCACAAAACGAAGAGAATTCCACGGTATTTGCAGTACTTTTTGGCGATTTCCAGGCACTCCAATTTTGATCATCCAACTCATGCCCGCACCTGCACAGTTGACTGTGACCCTATCCACTCAAAGTGCTTTGAAGCGCTTTGAAGCACTTTTGGATTCAAGATTCCCAGGACTCTAGGTCTGGAATCTTGAATCCAGTCTGGCCCCCAAAAAGATGCTAAGCTTTGAAGCGTTTTCATCCGGGTGGCTCAAGATTCCAGATCAGTCCTGAGAATCTTGAATGTTGAATCTTGAATCAAGTGCCTGAATGAATATTGAATCCAAAAGTGCCTCAAAGCGTTTTACAAGTGCTTTGAAGAGGTTTAAAGCGTTTGGGGGGGGGGCCAGACTGGATTTAAGATTTGATATTTTGTCCTGGGAGTCTTGAATCTTGATTCCAAAAGTGATTCAAAGCGCTTTAAAGCATCTGCTTCATCCGTTCCTGTTGGGTGTGCACCTTACTATATTGTTCGTCTTGCGCGCAGTAAATACAGTTGGTTAAAAATAATGGTTCTACCCGAAACCCAATTTAAACTGAAAGCCTTGCAATCTAACACTTGCAGACCAATTGGAATTGAATTTGCATGTTCCATAGGTGTCCATGGTCGTGCACTCCTTTTGAGGGACTTGAACATTAGAAGAAACACCAAGCGTGAAGGAAGCTTTATGCCACTTCCACATCAAAATGCGTTTTTGCCTCAAAGCGCGGCAATTTCAAGCTTGCAACCATTAGAGCTGAAATCGCATTGTCCGTGCGTGTCTGGTTGTTCACTTCTTTTTAAGGGGCAGGCAAATCAGCGGAAACAACAAGCTTGGCTTTCCATACTGGAATCGATTTGAATTCTAGCTCAACTCTAGTGCCAAACAGCAATGGAAGAAAGATGCTAAAAGAATTGCAGCTACTCTGGCTTGAATGAGCAGCGGCAATGAGCAACGTGTTACAAAAGTCGAAAGTCGAGGACCCCGTTGACTGATTCAGAAATCGCAGTTACGAACACGCTTCAGCAAAGCAATCACGCAACTTGCTCAAGACATCAAGCGGCAGAATCACAACAAAGCGCGTTTTTTGAATGCTCTTTGTTTAAAGGAACTTTGAAAGGAAACCCTACTATCCCAAATCTACAAAGCATAAAGGAACTCTAAAAGAAAAAGTCTACTAGCCCAAATCTGCTGGCAAATCAAGCAATTCATTTGTTTCAATTGAATGCTTTTTGAAATGGAGCTTCGAAAGGAATAGTCTACCAGCCCAATGGGGGGGGATACCATATATATATGTGTATATATATATATATATATATATATGCACTCAGATTCCTTGTCTTATTCATATTCTATACTTAGTCTCGCCTAAAATATAAAATGGTGTTGGAAGAGAAATTGAAAACTCGGGCAAAACCAAGAAAAACATGCAGAGCAAGGATTGTCAGGCCGAAAAACAGCTCCATACCTTGAACATCCCTACGTCATTCCAGAAGAGAGCTCGCTTCCCCGAAGAAAAAAAAACGCAAAGCTCCATTCACCCCCGCCTCCAAAAGAAAAAAAATGGGGTGGGTGGGTCTTTCCAAAAAGAGTGATCTGAACCCCGAAGCAAAACCCGCAAAACTCCTTTCACCCAAAACCGACAACTTCCGGTCCTGATGAACCTGCCCTCCTCCACCGGCCGCCGGGAGCTTACGTTGGACGCGAGGCGACTGCCGCGGCTCGGCACCACCAGCGGCCCGCCGCCGCCTTCGTCGCCCTCCGCGCCGCGGCACTCGCAGCGCCGCGGCGGCGATTTCTCGGCCGCGCTGAAGGTGTCCGCGGAGCAGAAGACCAGGCCGTTCCTAGTCAAAAGGGCGAGCAACAATTCGAGCGGATTTCCCCATGAGACTCAAAGAGATGGCCTCAGGCTCCAGGAGTCCTAGCCAACGCCCGTGGAGGAATTGGACTGCTCGGCGGACTGCCTCCTGCACCGAAGAAAACCAGGCTTTTGTTGCTGGCGGTTCTGTGAGGCAATCATGCCTCTTGAGTGCCCATTGAGTTGGAGGTGCTTTTCGGCGCGTCGTTGTTTTGCTTCTCGTCGGTGGCTTCTCTTGTAGGCCAGTTTTCTTCCCCCCGAAAAGGAGAATCTCCCCAATGGAAACAGCCGTGGACAACTAATCCCATATGCAAAAATTCAGAGATACCCTTTAAGAGGCATTGGCACAAGAAACACGGATTTGCGGAGAGTAAAACCTTTGCATCTCTTGCCATATCACAAGCAACTTGGATCCAGGGGGTGAGTGAACTTCTTTCTGCCGACAATTTGGTTGTGCGACTGGCTGAGCGAATCACTGGGAGCTACAAACAATCTTACTCACCAGTGGTTCGTATGGGTCGTCCCTTTTGTGGGAAACTGGAGATCGGGTCTTCTCCCCATGTCCTCCAAAAGAAAATGAAAAGAGCCGATCGATCGCACAGAGATGTGGGCAACAGGCCCGGAGTATCACCCGCAACTTCGCGGTGGTGTGGATGGGCTTGATTTAGTCGTTTTGTGAAGCTTGAATCCTCCGTTTGGCAAGTCACCGGGTGCAGTGTGTCAACTCACTGCCTCTTGCGCCTGACCCAAGTCTTCCCAAAGCCGGGCCCGAGAGATTTGCCTTTTTGCCCGGTTTTCCCCGGCCAGTCTTCCCATGCCCCGAACCGAACCGTCCGCCTTCTGATCCTCTCGCCCCCTCTCGGATCAGGATGCCATCAATTTCCCGACGAAACTTCCTCCGGGGAAAAATTCCCCTAGTCCAGTAGAGGTTAGAATAAGTTGGTACCCATGTGTTTTGTCTATTTGGCTGTGGGTCAAAACCAATGGTACCATTTTGGGGTAGCCATGTTAGTCTATTTTAGTGGGGATTGGGATGTTCACGCGGGGTACGATTTGGATTTTGACCCATGGCCATTTTAGTAGGGGAACCCGCCTAACCAAAAAAGTGGGTGAGAGGTCGGGCGCTTAGCTGGGGGACCTGGTCCCAGTTCCAAGTTCTCCGACCTCCGGCGCGACGCGACTGCCGAGGCGCTTGGCCCACAGGGTCTCCGCTGCCCAGGCAGTCTCCAGTCCAAAACGCACCTCCCCCAGGCACAGGCACAGCTGGCCCTCCTCAGACCGGAAAAAAATGGAGGGGTCCCTCCCCCTGCGTTCTGACCGATTTTTCCAGGGCTCCCTGGCTTTTGCCTGCTGGTGTTTGCAAGTGAAATTTCGTGAGTCCCAACCCGAGTTCCGAACCCCAAATGGACCATAGACTGGGTATTCACCGCACCTCTCATGGGCCAGATGCGAGCTGCGGCCGAACAGCCGAACAAAACATGGGGTCGCCTCGTTTCGCAGAGGCACCCGAGGGAAACTAGCAACAGGTTCACTTTCTCTTGGGGGTCCTATTAGGCTGAGTTAACAACCAAAGTTCCTCACTTGCCAATGTGGCCGAGCACGATTCTAAGATAAGGCAGGGCCACTCAAAAAAAGTGGACCCCCAAAAACCCCTCCCCCGCCGCCCCTCCTCGGCGCAGAAGTTCCAGCCCGACGCGTTCTTGGAGTCGGCGTCCCCTTCGCGACCGCGCGGCTTCGGGTCGCCAGAGTTCAGCTTGGAGACCAAGTGGCCAAAGGCGCCCCAGATCTTGGAGAGGTTCCTCAGGGCTTCCGTGGAACCTTTTGCCTCCCCTTCAAAATGGCCTCCCCTTCAGAAGTGTTGGTGTCTCGAAATAGCCTCAACATGGGTGGGGTTCCCCTTAGCTTCCCTTCAACCAACCCCAAAACGGTGGCAAAAAAGAGAGTTCCCGAGGGCGCAAATGCTTCCAGAACGGGTGCGTGAACCTTCAGAAAGAGTGGTTTCCCCTTCGTTCCCCCACGAAGGACGCATCGAAATGGCGAAGACCTTCGGATATCCCTTTCCATTTCAACCCCCAAAAGCCAAACTCGCGGCGCACCACAAATATCCCTAGAATGCCCTTTCCTGGTGCAAATGACCCCTAGAAACCATTCCATATGTTTCATTAAGGGAAACCCCAGGTTCCTTTTCTCATTCCCTACCTCTCGCAGCTTTGGTGACGCTTTGGCACTGGGGATCCCGTACGTCGAGTGAGATACGCCCTGTCCCATGGGTGTCCCATGGGGGCAGGGCGTACTTTCTGCGGAAAACCAAAAGAAAGCCTGATGATGATAAAGGAACAGGCCTTATAAATGAATGATGAAAAAGGCTATGAAACGAGAACTCCAACAAATACTATGCCGTAGAAGTAAGGACAAGATAACAATCATACCGTTTCATATATTAAAGATGGGATGTAGAAATAGATAGCAAATTGATGTGTCCTTCATATCATATCTTTATCATCAGGATTCTATGATTATGTCCTGTATTGGGAGTTGTCATCATTCTAAAGTTACCCCAAATGCACATGACAATAAGTTGATGATAAAGCAAAAATGAAAGATAAACCAAATGAAAATGATGAAAACACAAAAGGAGGATGATCACACGCAACGAAACATGCATAACCTTTAAAAACGCAAATAAAATACGAAGCATATGTATTTTGACTGGACATAGCCATGAAATAAAAAGATATGCACGGCAGACTCATGAAATGAGAGCCCGAGGGGATAGACGGAGGAATTCTCCCATCTCATTGCTGAACGACGTGACATTCGTGAAGATCACCTGCTGAAAAAAATGAAAAGCCTGTGCTAAAGTGAAGAATACGAATCAAGTAGTGATGACATGGGTCTTTCCGAATTTCCCAAATCCCGCCATTTCCTACCCAACATTCATCTTGTAGTGATGTCATGTCTGGAGGGATGGTCATCTCCTTTTCATTCACCAACATTCCTAATTGACAGATAACAAAGAAGACTTTGAAGTTGTACTAATAATACACCGATCCTATCTTGGAATCCATATGTTTCTAAGTGTCTGAATTGATGGAGTATTGTAAGAATTGGACGGCAGAAAACAAAGGATTTTGGGAAGATAATTTCAAACCTATATCTTGGATATCTGGATCCTACGGTGTAACTCGTGGAAAACCAATTCATCGATGAGAAGTGATTAAGAGGTCAAGGACATTCTAGCGTTTACAGTATCTTTCGGTTTTATTGCCTTCTCCATCCTCAAGGTACCTTTATTTACAAGCCAAAAAATTGATGAAGGCAAGAAGCTAGCCAATTCCTTTTCATTGCTATTTCTCATTGGCAATCTGTTCTTCATCCCTTGTCCATGTCCTCTCTTTCCTATCCTAGGTCCTCCGGTAGAGAGGTTAGAATAAGGGTACCCTTTTTCTGTAGTCTATTTTAGTAGGGGAACCCTCCCCTAAAAAAGAAGTGAGAGGTCGGGCACTACCGGGGGACCTAGCTATCCGTAACTCTTGATGGAGATTAAAAGGTGGCTGTCTTCATCTCGGTACCCATCTCCACATTCGGAAATTGAGACGGGAAAGACACGGCACCTATCATATATTTATTTGTACTGGTCAAGAGATGTAGGGAAACACCTCAATCATATGCTGTGTCCATAGGATGAAGAGACAAACCGCTCTCATACAGAGACTCGCCTTTGGACACAGCATATGATATGATTGAGGTGTTTCCCTACATCTCTTGAATCGTAAAAATGATTATATGATGGGTGATAGAATCTAAGGACTGTTGACGCCTGGTGTGGATAAGACTCATCTTTTCAATAGTCAGTAGATAGACAGGTAAACTGTACGAAAGGGAAAGACCAACCCTTCCAACTCATTCATATCTCTTCTCTCTACTTCTCCCGTCATCATGATTACAAACCTAAGATGATTCATTATGCGGTAGAAGCGGCGGCGGCGGCAGTCTGCTAAATCAAACAAACAACAAATGGGGCCTCGAGAAATGTAGTTGCATTCACGCATCAAGCGTCAGAAGCTGACCGCAGTCAGGGTTTTGATTCCCTACAACCACCTCTTTGGCTCGCCGAATGCCTCTTTTCGACCCCAGTCGCCCCTGCGGAACAACTCCCGCCGAGGTGCGCGGCATTGTCGCTATCGCATTGAAAGAAGGGGTCGGAA